AAATTCAGTGTTATCTGCCACAGTTTTCCTGTTTGACTCCTGTTAGCATGCAGCTATGGAAATTTTGTTGTGGAGTTGTCCACTGACAAATTGCGTAGAGTTGGGTTAGGGCTGGAGACGTGCAGAAACGGTGGTACCACATGTTTTCATACAATGTCGTGGTGTCCTTTTCTCCTGAAGTACATGTTTACCACTGACCCTGAGTAAGCAGATCATGTTGGGGGACTCCAGAGGACAGCTTCCATCTCTGGAAGTGGCTTATAGAAGTCTGAATACACCCAACACTTAAGGAAAACAATCAGCAGTATTAAAATGCTCTGGTTTATGGAGGTAGATCATTGTTTTAGTTCCTCCAGGAGGGGAAGAGAATTATTGCCTGGGTCCTTTAAGGCAGTTTGAGAGCCACTTAAATGTTTTCACAGTGACTTAAAACTGAATTAAAGCCAGAGCAAGAATGTTTTTGTACAGTAACGGATACTTAATGCCAGAAAGTTGATTAATGTTACATCTCTTCCCAAACATGATCTATGTAACAACATGAGGTTTGCATTGGAATAGCTGGCTCGGGTTCACAACATTGGCAAGGCTCCCTTTTCTCCTTCTGAAAACAAAACTTCTCCCTTTCACTCTTATCTTCCCTCTTTGTTTTGGATAGTTTTATAAATGCGCAATCACTTGCTTTACACGGCATAAGCTCTGCAACATGCAGCATATGTGTCATGTGTTGTCCATGCTTTTATCTTCCAGACACTGGCATAAAGCAAAAGCATTCGTACATAAGTACTCTGCTGCCCTTGCAACGGATTCCCTCGTTATCTCAAGTACAGAGCATATCTGGTGCAGGAATAAACTCCAGGAGGGCTTGGGAGAGAAAGCTTTGCCCATAGAGTCAGCTGTTGGCTGAACTCAGTCCAGTAATTCTGCTGCTTACACGTTGAAAGCCTGATTATTGTACGTGTTACAAGATGGCTCCTGAATGGCTGGCTGGATATATTCCGTGAAATATTTGCGTGCAAATTTGTTTGTGGGAATACTTCAGAAAATTGCTGAAAACGCAATAAATGTTTATAGCTCACTATAGCAATATAATATATATAACTATATTGACACTCAGTGTCAATTCCTGTAGTAAATGCTTAGTTAATCTGTAGTGATTGAGCACATCTATGGCTTTACTTGATCAAAACTTCTTTTAGCCATTATTATAGGTGCACCTAGTGCATGCACAGTTTGCACTGATTTGCGTAGGGATTCTTTATTACAGTTTCAAATGAGATACCCCAAAGTCCCTGTGTGGGATCCTGGGTGGATATTGGTGCCCGGGGTCTAGTTCCCCTGATGCAGAGAGCACTGCGATGCATCTATGGGGATCACACCTGCCATAAGGTTTTGCTCTCCTGCCATAAATTATATCAGTGGTTTAAAAACCCCCAGTGCTTGAAAGTTTTGAATCTAGTGGTTCAGCTTCTTTGCGTTTGATCATCACTGCTAACCAGAAGACCCGAAAGTGTTTCACTCTGGGACTCTTATTGTTTCAGCTTAATAGTAGTAATAATTGCTTTGGAGCACGCAGCATTTTGAGAATGAGCATTCAGATAGATGTGAGTAAAAGGATATCCATTTATTCTATTTGAAGTGTCTGAACACTAATAATTTACTTGCACTTTTAATTATTTGTTGGTGGTGCCCTTACCTTTAACTAAAGGCTGTTCTGGAAATACAGAGCTGGTTAAAGTAGCATAAAATAATCATAATTCAAGACTACTAAAGATTTCTGCTTTAATTGTGTGTTTCACCACTCATGTAGTTTGGGCTTTTTTTCTGTCTTTCTGTTTTTTAAGGAAATTATTGCTGTAAGGATGAAACCTTTCTTGACTACACTTTCATGAGGAAAAAAATAACTGGGAGCAGAATATTGGATATTGCCCATGTCAAAGTTATCTCTAGGATGGGAGATTGTAGCTGGGACATACCTATCTCAGGGCTTAGTAAAGCATAAGGTACCCCTTTTCTGCTTTTCTGAATGCCTCAGAAATATTGAAAAGCTGGCAGACATGAAGGAGAACATAATTTGCTGCATAAGATGGCACAAAAGAATTAGTAATCGTTAACATTATTCAATCAGATTTGGTCTCAGTAATATTCAATGCAGGATTTTTTTTTGAGGGGGGAGATGTTTATTGTTTCCCTTCTTTGGAGAAGTAGATGTTTCTGTCTTAGTTATCCTTCAACAATGAGATTTCTTGAGGGGCTTTTTGGTCTTTCCTGGTGATTTCATCTTTTCAGTGAACTGTCTTACTAGCTATTAGGGCCAGAGTTTAATCCTGTATGGTGCTCTCTAAGTCTGAGTAACTTGTACATTTTCACTCAGACAGGAGAAAAATCATAGTCATAGAGGTTTTTTTTTTTCCCCTTAAAGTCTTAGCTTGTGATAGTGTTTTGTAATTAATCGAGTTAACACTTTGATACTTGTTCACATAATATGTTTGTGATTTTTGCTGAACTTATTATTGCAGAAAGGTTTTTATATCTATCTAGCTGGATATAACGATACTCTAGGTGTTAGAAAAAACAAACGCTGAGTTTCGTAAAAACTGATACCATCTACTGTTTAACTAGAGACAGCTTGACTAGGACTGGTTTGCATCTATGTCTCTCGCTTTTTATTGTGTTTTCAGGCTTTAAGCTTTTTAAGCTTTTCCTGTGAGACTGAACATTTTTTCTCTCAATTTCTCTCTTCCCCCTTTCAAGAATCTTACAAATTAAGACAAAAGATAATTACTCAGAGGGTAAAACTGGCAGAGTTCCCACGACACTTAAAATTAATGAGCTGTTGCATATAAAATATACCTTGTCTCATGTTCACTGTTTTTTGGGGGTTTTTTTGTGAACCATAAAAGTGCACAATTTGGCTTTTTGGCTGTGTTTTCTGTTTTAGTAATTTCCAGTTTCTAAAGTGGCACCTGAATACAGGAAACTAATCCCTCCGACGTAATGTTTCCGTATGAGCAGATCAGTATATACAGTTTGTTCCCTCTGAAGGAAAGCATCATTCGCAGTGATGAAATACGTATTAACGAAGCCGCCAGCGGTTGTTTGTGCTGTGTCTTATTAAAAATAAATAGTTGTGCTTCGTCGTCTGCAGCGCCTTCCATCTGATGCGAGAACTCCTTACAAAGGAGGATAAATGCATTGTCGTGAACTCCCTGAGAGGGGTTGACAATTATTATCAGTTCCATCACTGGAAATGAGACACGGAGGTTACGCGACTTTCACTGAAATCACTGAGAAATCCTTGGCTGGCTAGGGCAGCGCCAGTGGCTCCTGAGCTCAGGGGTGACGGAGCCACGGGGGAATTTGTGGTGACTTCGCTGCCGATGGCTTTTCTCTTGTTCTTACTCAATTTATGCAAGAGGGAAGGAAGACAACAGGAAGAGCAGTTGCAATTTTTTATTTTTTACATAATCTGCTTCAACACTTATGACTGACTGAGTATGATAAGTGACCTGAATAATAAATTTGTCAATAGCTAGCTGGAGTTTCATCTCTTGGAGGTGCAGTGGAAAGGTAGAGAGCTGGTTGAGATGGTTTTGGAGGTAGGTGTCAGTGTCTACTCAGAATTAGGTTAGATGCCCCTCTTCTGTCCAGCAGGATTGTTGATTGTTTATTGTTACTACTGCTACTACTACTGTAATACTAGAGCTGTGTAGACAGCTAAGCTTCACAATTTAGATAAAAAGGTATGTATCGTAGGTATATCATGTTTAGTGACAAAAGAAGGCTTTCATTTCACAAGAAAACAGTACCTAATTTAATTTAGTTAATATTCCCAAACAGATGGTGTGTGTTGTGTGTAATAAATATGGTTTTTAGATACTTGTGCTATTAAGTATTTATGAATTTTCTTATTTACGTCCTTTCCTAAACCATGAGGCATAAAACCATAAAAGGCTAAACCTAAACCATAAAAGGCAGAGGTGAGTACCAAGAGTAGATGAGTAGAGAAGGCAGGAGGGCGCTTCCCATTGTGGGTTGGATCTCAAGCCTCGTGGACCTCTATCGAGTCCTTCACTGAAGAGGGGGCAGCACTGGCATAAATTCACCACATTTTTGATTAACAAACAGAGAATCATGACGTGTATTTTTTTAACCTCAGCTTTTCATGTTCCCTAACAACAAAAGAGCAGTGACTATTCTTAAATAGATTCAGCAGAGAGACAGGAACAAAACTTGCTGAGATAGACTTGCATAATGTCTATTGTACAAAAAATACAGTTTCTGTTCTGTAAGGAACAAAACTTGCTGAGATAGACTTGCATAGTGTCTATTGTACCAAAAATACAGTTTCTGTTCTGTGCTTTCATATCCCTTCACCTCAGCAGAGGCCAGGACGCTCAGCATAGGTCCCAGCATTACTTAACATGACATGTTCCAAAATGGTTTTAGTATTTTCCTTTCTTTGCAGAAGTACCTTTTTCTGTTTCCAGCTTGTCTGCTATAGGCAAACTGCTGTCAGTTTGGTTCTTTTTTCAGCAGTTTGGATGTTGATGAAAACAAAACATGCTTTTTCATGGAATGTTTCCTTTCTTTTACGTTAATGTAAAAATAAATCCTTTTTCTGTTTAGGTTATGTTTAGAATTCCCTTGCTGCAGCAGCGAAAAGTTAATTAAAACTGTCATAAGTAAAAATCAAACTGATAAGTCTAAATTTAGGTCAATCAAAACAGTAATATATCTTGTATGTTTTAATTTGGATATTGAAGATAATGTGTGTTAACAAGCAAAGGAAATACTTCAGTAAATCTGTTCCTATAAAGAAATATGCAAAATAGTGCTTCTATTTCTGTATTGATTTTACTTTAGATATAAGAAGACCCTAAATATCCAACACTCACAGCAAAGAAAGTTGGGTTGTTTTGAATGAAGAGTTTGGTCTTGTATGGGGTTTTTTGGTGTAGTGGGGTTTTTTTCCTTAATAGTCTGATTTTCTGTCTTCTCAGTTTTCAATGGGTCCAGCAAATCATCGAAGGAGAAAGAACCTGCTCAGAAACACAAAAGCAAAGAGGCCACACCAGGGAAGGAGAGGAACAGCGAACATAAGGCTGAGAGCCGAAAAGACCAGGCTGCTGCTAATCACTGTCCTACTACAAACACTGGCTCCTCTACGAAAGGGCTCCCCGCTAACAACCACCACACTCTTCATAGATCGGCTCAGGACTTAAGGAAACAGGTAATGAATCGTACTCTACTGTGGACACATGGGAAACACGGACTTTTAAGGTGCTAGCTCTATTTTCCACTGCCTGCCGAGGAGCAAAAATGGCAATCCTTAAAAGCATGCTCTGGAGACAGCAGGGAGTTAATTGTCAGTGAAAGAGAAAGAGAGAAAGAAGGAAAAAACAAAAGTGATACATACGTGGGAAGTCAGTATGCTAAAGCATGCTTTACAACCCTGTCTTTATATTATCCGGTGTATACATACGAAAGAGGAAAGTTCACACTGCCATCTATTAAACCTTTCTGACTGGCACTTTTGTTGGCCTCTCTGCTGACAGTGCCAAGGCTGGCAGCACATGGAAAAATGAAATCCTTTTGTGTATGGCTGGTCTGCTCGAGTTATCTTAGAAGCTCACTGGTGTTGTAGAGGAGCTGACATTACGCTTAGTGTCTTGTATTGCATGTGGGCAACGCAAACCTCGAAGTCTGGGAAAAATGTTTTGCCCGATGCGTAAAGAAGGTGCTCCAGGATATTGCCTCCTTCACAGTGGACGTATCAGGTGGGGAGAAATTCGGACTTTTGTGCTACGTTGTCGAAAACTAGCAGAAAAATCCAGCAAGAGGTTTCTCTCAGCCTGACTTGGATTTGAATGTGGAAGTTTAGCAGACCAATCGTTTGCTGCTTGTGACTGGCGTTTGGGCAGAATGCGTCTCCATCTGTTTTTGGTGGTTGGATCAAAGGGCTCCTAAAATAGCAACTGTCAAATAAGTTTTTGTAAAAGTTTTTCAAAATCCCTGGTCAAGTGTCCTTGATCAGTCTGGGGCTTTATTAGCAGGATGCCTGCTCTAGGGCAATGCAGCACAGAAAGCTTGCTGCACTTAGGCTTTTTTTTTTTTTTTTTTTTTTATTTTTTGGTGGTTAATTCTCAACAGGCCAATTAGAAACAGTCTTTATTTGCTGGCATCTAAAAGTTTTTCTTCCAAGTAGGCTGGCCTGGACTTTAGTGGAGCTGGAATTGCCATCTTGTAGGGCCATCAAGGTTTTAACTGGCACCTCTCAGTCATAGGCTTGGAAAACAAAAATGGCAAAAAGTAAAACAGTCGTGCTCTTGCTGAGGAAATCTTCCATGCCCTGCACTTCAGTGATGTTTAGCTTCTCCTGAAATGCATCTACTGGATTTTTACTACCTTGTAAATCAAATTTGAGGTCCTGAAGGTTATCTACAGTATATTTCTCTATACCTCTGTAAGACTTCCATTCTTGATTTGCCAACAGCAATTTTTACTTATCTAGTCATCAGCTTGAGTGCCTACCTTCTTTTGCATCCTTTTGGCTTTCTTTTTTGTCACTACCACATCTTAGGGTCCTTGCTGTTACATGCTCTGCCATGAGCTCTTCATGTTGAAGAAGTTTCCCAAAATGTAAGGATACACTTCATACTGAATTATTTTAACTCACTCGAACACTCGTGGGAAATGCTTTAAAGTTGTATCATCAAAGTATGAATGGTTAACATTCTTGTGAAAGTCAACTGCCGTCACTTGCGAAGGTAGTTCTGAGAAGGGAAAAGACATTTTGTCCACAATCCAAGTGGGTTTTGCTTCGTAGAGTATTAGATGTTTTCAATTGCGCTACACACATCGCAGAGAAATTCTAAAGCAGTGCAGTACAACCAACAGTCACTGCCACACAGACACCTACAGAGTGTGGTCCTCAAGCTCCAGAAAACCAGGGGGCTGTAAGTTGAGGTGATGATTTTTTTTTTAAAAAAAAAAAGGTTAGGCATTTAAATTTTCTTCTGCAACCTACAGTAACATAAGTACTTTCTTACCAATTTCAGTGAAAACATGGCTGTAACTAATAAAAGGTGGATTATGCCTTTTGCCTGACAGAAAGACTTAGCTTTGTGCAAAACCTTAGACTTAGCAGTTATGTCACATTGCTAAATTTCCTGCCCTTGTCCTGAGTCTTTGTTGACTTTTTCAGTATGTTTTCCCAGGGTGCCAGCCACATGTTCCTCCTTGTTCCAGTGTGGTTTTGCTCCTTGTTCACTTACGTTTACGTGGTTTATTTGTTTGTGTGGTTTTGTTTCATTCAGTCTTACAGAAAATAAAGGCAGAACATTAGAAATTACCTGAGATTTTCTTTTTTCCTTTCATTCTTTCTTTCCTTTTCTGGTGTGCACTTGCACTTGTCACGTGTTCCCTCTCCGTCTGTCTTCCTTCCTTGCTCTCTTCCCAAATCCCCTACTTCAAAGGGGTTGTGGGCAAAGGAAATGTAGTTCAATGGGGCCCTCTCTCGGCCTAATATTGTAATTTAGCTCTGCAAAACTTATCAACTCAGAAGTATTTTTATGAATGAATTCAAGATCAGTTGCATAACTTGAATTTATTTGGGACCAAAACTGTTGTTGGTGTTGCTAATGTTGCTGTTATTACTGTGGTTGTTATCTAACAAGTCGTTTGTTGGCTTTATTTTGTGTGTATGTCTGGAGGATGAATCCTAGGTGTTAATGCAGAGGTGTGTATGTAGAGCAGTTCAAATTCAACAAACAAATTGCTGCAAGACTATGTGCTGTCCCATTTGCTTTTTAGAAGACAATGAAATTTAAAATCTATCGTACTGTCTTTTAGTGCAAGGCAAGTGTTCAGTGAAGTCGAGAAAAGAGTGGTCTGGAGACAAATATATGTCAGCAAAATTGAGAACATGGCTGAAAAGCAAAGATAAGATTATTCGTATCCCTAGTTTCACCTTTAGTTCAAGACTGAGTCATGTAAGGCTAATGTCAATCACTTTGTTACTATTTGAATTAAATTGACTTCTTTCTTATGCGCTCAGTGTAAGCACTGCCTCGGGATGGAGCTGTGACATAGACCCCCATTTGGTGAACCTGCGCACCTGGCAGTGTGGCCAATTTTTTAGGCTGACTCTGTGTGTGTATGTTTGGTTTGGGGGGAGACATATCAACAGTAGAAAGGTAAGAAAATACCTACCACAATTTCTTGTTTCTTTTGGTTCCAATCATCTGATGGGTCCTCAGAGACAAGTACAGACCAGGAACACGTAGGTGATGACTGACCAGCCAGAATTTCACATTTGTCAATGTGAAATCCTGAATCCACCTGTTGCTTTGATGGTGGACTGTGACCACATCGTTTGTTCCGCTTGTTCCAGCTGGAAGACATTTGTTGCAGCCTGTTACCATTTGAAGCGTGGTCTGTTCTGGTCTACGTAGTACTGCTGTATCTTAAACATGCTGTCCTCTCTGAAAACACTTCAGATACCTAAGGGCATTTGGTGGGGGAAGAGGGAGAGACATTTGAAAATGTTGTGTCTGCTCTAGAAAGGTGCTGATCCCGAGGAAGTTTTCAGTAGTGTTTCTTTCTTGTGAGGTCTCCTTAGTTAGCAGTCAGAAAGAAATAAGCTAATTCCTTATGGTATTCTCAAAGCCAAGTGTTCTCTACTTCAGGACGTGTTCATCATTGGAATAATTTCACTAACTTTGAAACTCAAGATAGCATGCTTGAGTGTAGGTTAGGTAGCTGAAGCTTATGTACCTGTTCAGTTCAAGATGTGGCCTTGAGAGATCTAAGCTTTTGTTGTGTGGAGGTATTTGAACAACTCTAAACAGTTGTGATAAGTTGCTGGTTTCTTTAAGAATTCAGTTTCTCAGAGTTTTCTATCTTGGCAGTTTTAATTCTGGCCTAAAGCTGTTTGTGCTGATGGCATGTTTTCCTTTGAAGAGGAGGAGCTTTGAGGATCTTGCCTTTCTCCATGAGTGTGTTTTGTTCTCAGGCCCTGTGTCACCACCCCTTACTGAAGGAGTGCCCCAGATGGCCCTTCAGACTTCTGGTCACAACTTCTTCAGAAAAAAATCATAGGAGTGACAACGTACCTCCATACAGCCTGACTGTACCTGACAGCACAGTAATATAACTATGGCCTCCATGAAACCTTCTGGAAAACCTTCCGTGTAAGAGACTCCACAGCATCCATTGACAGCTTCTTCCAGCGTTTTACTTTTCTACTAATGAGCAAGTTTTCCTAATTGTGCCTCAGACCATTGTTGTAGGCAATTAAAGATTTTTTTTTCCCTCCTGCTTTTCCCAGTGAACATGGAAAGAACATTTACTGTCCCTTTTCAGAGGAGCTCCTTATGCATCGGAAGACTGTTACGAACTTCTCCCATAGTCATCTCTTTCAGATTAAATAAGTCCAGCTCCCTTGACTTTTCATTAAAGATCATATTTTCCAGATACCTGAGCACTTTGTAGTCTTTCAGACTTGCTCCACTGTCCAGATTTTTCTCACAGTGTGGGCCCGATGCTGGGTCCAGCCCCTCTTAGGAAAGCCAGCGCTCCTGTCTCTTGCTGTCGGCGTCATTAGTAGTAGGTCTCAGAAGGTGGTTTGCGTGCTTTGTGCTACCATCACGTTTTGCAGCCCACTGTGGTTCCTCACTGTGTTATTCCTCCCTTACGTGTGTTTCATTTGTCCTTTCTAAAAATAGCACTTCCTCTTATTGTAGAAATGTTCTGAAATAAGTTCTTCAAGATCACCCTTGATTTTGACCTTGTCTCCAGAGTGCTTACAGCCCCTTCCAGGTGTGTGTCAATGGCAAATGTTACAATAATCCAAGTTACTGATGGAATTACTTGGTAGAACTGAGGCCAAGACAGATCCCTGCAGAAAGTCATCTGAAATACCCTCCCAGGATAGCAGTGAACTATGACAACGATACCTTCTATTGAGGATGGCTTTCTTTAATCCCTTGTGAAGCCACTTCAGAGTAATTATGTCTAGGACGTGTCTCACGAGCTTGTTTGATAGAATGTCACGTGGGACAGTGGCTGGAGCCCTACTGAAGCAAAGGTGCTTCTTTACCTGCTCAGCCAGGTGTCTGGCAGGAGATGATTAAATTAGCTTGGTGTGCTATTGTGGCAAAACTGTGGGTGGAGTTTTCTTGGTTGGTATTTTTTTTTTTTTAACATTATCTTATTATTGTTTGTGTGTTTACATATTAACTGTTTGATGATTTGTTCCAGAATGATTTTAGGCTTTGAAGGTAGGTAGACCCTGCCTGTCCTCAGCTCATCTCCAGGAGCCATACCCTAAGTTACCTAGGTACATTTTAGCTTACTGGGGTTATCTTCCTAACTCTTTTGCTGAAATTGGTTATGTGATCTATCTGGTAAGTATTCAGTCAGTGATACTTTTGGAGAAGGCTAATGCAAAAGAAGCACAAACACTTTAGCCAAACTGTTGCATTTGGTTTCCTTCCTTATGTAGTGGTTGATCTCTGCTATTCTTTGTTTTCTTTTATTTTTAAGGTATTTATAAGTGTTTTTTCTGTTTAATTTTATGTCCTTTGCTAACCGAGGTTTCTTCAGTTCCTTGACTGTTCTGATTTTACCCATGCATGCTTTTGCTTTTCCTATATAGTTTTCCTTAGTCACATAATTGGTTTCCACTTTTTACTGTGGCTCTTTTCTGATTTTCCAGTCATTAGAGAACTTTGTGGAGAGGCATAATGGCCGGTGCTTTGTGTCCTTCCTCTGAGTAGGAGTTGCTTTGGTTTGGGTTTTTTTGCAGGTGGTTTTTTTTGTGGGTTTTTTTTGTTTGTTTGTTTGTGGTTTTTTTTTTGCTTAAGCCTACTGTTGTCACATCTTAGAATTGAAAACTCATTTCATGATCGCTGTCACCCAGATTACCTTCCCCTTCCAGCTCTCAATCAGTTCTTCTCTGTTAGTCTAGATGAAATCTGTAATCGACGTTCCTGGCTATTTATAAAGCCAGAGATGTTCAATGCTTGTTCTGACTGCTGCAGGCAAGAGGCAATGTCTCAGCAGCTCTCTGCTGGGTCTGCTCTGCGGCATGAAAAAGTGCCGTAAAAGTCAAACCCAGACTTCCATTTCAAATGCAGAGTGCTGCCTGAATTTCAAGGGAAATGGGTGAATGCATTTCTGTTAGCAAGTGTTTGCTTTCCAGATGGTATCTCATACGTCTTTGGAAAACTCAAGGTAAAAACTCAGTGTCATCAGTTAACTGGATTTTCCATGTTTCTACCTTGGGAGCACAGGAAGGACAAGGATATGGATGGGTTTTAAAAGGGTTCTGGAGCACAGAGGAGAAAATACACACAGTAAATGCATGTATACACGTGTACGTGTTTGTATGCAGAATCCCCGGGTTCCTGCTCCTCTTCTGCAGTTCGCTTAATGCAAGACCATGGCATGATCTTTTCAGTCTCTGCCTGATCCCTGTTTTATAACATTTTATCCCTAATTTATAAGTGACTACAATTCTTACATTTATTTGAGAGAAGCTGTGATGCTTACTAGTTTGGCAAGGATTTTGAAATCCCACAGGAAAGTAGTATAATTTTGCAGGAATTGTGTTACTCACCTACGTGCTGATGAGGGGTGATTGTACTGTATGCTTTCGCTTTGAGCACCTTTATCAGTGTTTCTGATTTTTGGATGTGTTTTTCTGCACTCATAGTAGTTTAAGGAGGTGAGAAGACAATGTTTAAACGTCTTTAAATGCTGAAATTTCTTGAGGTTTAAATTTGAACTTCATTTTCTTAGTAATGGCGCTTAGCTTTGGCAGTGCTGAGTCATCACAAATTCCTTTGAAGCTGAGGGTTGCTTTCAGTGCTTAACATGTCTTATAGTTAAAATACAAATTTTAGTTTCATAACTGGGTTCAAATGTCTAACAGAAAGCAGTGGAGTCCAGCAATTTTGAGTTGCAATGACACATTAGCGAGTGATGAATATGATGCAATAAAGTGTGTGTCAGCAAAACTGCCCAGATATCAAACTTCAGAAAAATGTATTGAACTACTGTATACATTTTTACTTCAAATTAATGACTTCAGCAACAAGATGCCTCCCAAAGTTTAATATGTGTGACAGACTGGATCCTGCATGGCCATCCTGATCTGTTGGGTGCATAATGTGTTCAATATCTTTTTTTATATGTATATATGTATGTATAGATAGGATGTTGGCTTGAATCTCTGTGTTTTTTGCAAAACGTGCTCATTCCAGTTAGAGTAGATAATACATGCTGGCTAATTTGTCTGCTAAGAAGTAGTAAACTGTGTGTGCACTCAGGGGGAGTTGGGTGGGAGAGAAAATAGTTTCTAAGGGCTAGAAAAGGAGATAATGAAAGTATTAGTTTGTACATCAGACTACCTATGTTTTCTGATACCATAACAGGCCTTCTGGTAGACAAGGAAGGGAGTAGTGCAAGCAAGGGACCTCACCCTTCTTAACGCCAGAGGCTTTGTGCCCTCTGAAAGCGAGATTGGCTTTCTAGGGACTTTTTGGTTAATTTAAAAAAAAAGAAAAGTATTTCTGTTTTATTTGCATACTATAAACGTCCAGTCCCTCGTCTTGCCTGGGAAGGTTGTACGAAGGGATGAGGAGTCAGGACTGCAGAATATGGTTGTCCAGCAACTGGGATGCCGTGGCTGAGTGATAACATTATTAATTTACTTTTCTGTTTTCTGTTTCCTTCCTTCTGCTCCCCCTGCAACACTCCTGGCATTGCAGGTTTCTAAAGTCAACGGGATCACTCGAATGTCATCTCCGAGTGCAAATGCAGCCAGTGCCAAAAAGATGAGAGAAGTCAGACCTTCACCGTCCAAAACTGTGAAGTACACTGCAACAGTGACAAAGGGAACTGTCACATACACCAAAGCCAAGAAAGAACTGGTCAAGGAAACCAAACTAAATCACCACAAACCCAGTTCACCTGTCAACCACACAATCTCAGGGAAAATAGAAAGTAGCAATGCAAAAACCCGCAAACAGGTGCTATCCCTTGGAGCATCCAAGTCTAACAATACCGCTGTTAATGGTGTAAAAGTCAATGGCAAGTTGAACCAAAAGACATGCACTAAGGAGGTGGGGAGACAGTTAAGGGAGGGGCTGCGCAATTCCAAGAGGAGGCTGGAAGAGACGAATCACATAGACAAAATACAGTCGCCCACCAAGAGAATGAAAGGGGCTGTCAACTTGGCAGAAGCTGCCAGCAAAAAGGCAGCTGTAGAAAAGCCTTTGCTGAATGGACACCTTAAAAAGGAAGTGCCAGAGAAGAGTTTGGAAAGAAATAGGCCGAAAAGAGCCACTGCTGGAAAGAGTACGCCAGGGAAACAAGCACATGGCAAAACTGAAAATGCCTCCTGTGAAAATCGTTCTACCTCTCAAGCGGAGTCCTTGCACAAGCCACAAGACTCAATGGGAAAGCACGAAAAGGGCAGTAGTAAGTCTGGGTGGGGGATGCTGGGGGAGATTCCCATCCTTAGGCCCTCCACCAAGGAATTTCATGACCCACTGATATACATTGAGTCAGTCCGAGCTCAGGTAGAGAAGTATGGGATGTGCAGGGTGATTCCTCCTCCAGACTGGAGACCTGAGTGCAAGCTAAACGATGAAATGCGGTTTGTGACACAGATTCAGCACATACACAAGCTAGGCAGGCGCTGGGGACCCAACGTGCAGCGGCTGGCCTGTATCAAGAAGCACCTCAAATCTCAGGGCATTACCATGGACGAACTCCCACTCATAGGTAAGGCCTGTTGCCGCTGCTTGTTAGTGTCCGTGTGCGACTTTGTGCTCCCTTTGCCTTTATGCTTAACCGAACCCCTGTTCAATTAACACTGCAGAGCTCTGGATCTCTTTCTTTGGCCATCGGTCAGGCACAGTTCAGGTAGGTTGTCGGAGAGCTTTCCAGGGAGACTTTATATTGCCACTTTCCTCCTGCCAGCTCTTTATTTCAGCCAGGGGAAAAAATGCTACGTGGGGTCTTGGTCTCCACATTTCAGGATCTTCTCCTTTCTCTACTGTTTATTTTTGTATGTAGTACAACTGTGGATATTGATAGCCTCGCTTTAAATGTCGCCTGAGAATGTTTTTCGGACCTTTCCAAAGACGTTTTCCAAACAGGATGCAGTGCTGCCAAGCTTTAATACAAATATTTTTTCCCCATTCCTTTAAAAGCATTTAACCAAGGGGGAAAGAAAATATCTCAGACCTGACTTCTGTTTGGGTACTCAGACACTTAAAATCACAAATTTGCAGTGACCTGCTGACATTTAACAACCATTAAGTGTCAAGAATAGGCAGTAAAATGTGGTTGATTGCAAAATGGAGGTTTCATTATTTCTCCCAGCAGGTGTCTGCCAGGGCTAATGCCTGAGTGAGAATCACTTATTTAACAGAATTCTTGGTTTATGGTCTGCTGTCAAATATGACACGTGACAAAAATGTGACAATAGTTTGTAAAAACACGACAACAGCAGCATACAAATGAACTATTGAATGAGCCACCTCCATCTCTACTGCCTTCGCAGCCATGACATAGTAAAAACTTGTGCTTTTAATCTTTGTTAGCCCTTCACTTTATTTTTAAGTGTTTTGAGTCAGTGCTCACAGGACCTGCATATTGCAACTTGAGGCTAGAGTTTTGCCTTTGAGGCATTATCTGATCAGAGGCAGCTATCGGCGCTGGTTAGATTAAAGGACACGCTTTTTTGTTTAAACTGTTCGCAACGCTTCCCCCTCCACCCCCTTTTAAAACTTTATTTTATATCGCATATGGTGAGTGAGTGAAAATACATAAAAGCACACAAAGAGATTGCAGAGTTTATGGTAAACCGATGCGAGGCATAGCAGAGAAAGACAGAATTTAAGGAGGAGGAACGAGGGTTAGCGCTCTGTTGCAATAGCTGTACAAAAACATTCAAGGAAATCTGAAAATTAAAATCACTCGAGCAGCAATAAGTGAACATTTTGTATTCCTAATGTATGCAATGGTTGTATGCTAATAGAGACGAATAATGAATTAAATTTACATTGGCAAGAGAGAGAAGAAAATGTGCAAGACAGCTCGATTAATGCTTCTAGAACAATGTTAACTTTTTAATGAAATACCTTAACTCAGCATTAAGATGGCATTATTGTTAATTATTTGTATTATTTAAGTACCTAAGAGCCTAATTAATAGGCAAGGATTCTATTCTGCTGGGTGCCATATAACTGGAGCAAACAGTGGTCTCTTATAAAATTTGCATCCTATGTATCCGTTCTGCAGTTAATTTCCTACCTATCTTGTGTTTCAAATTAAAAACAAAATGGAGAAAAGAAGCTGGAGATCATCAGTGTACAAAGATGAGAAATCTGTTGGTTCCAGCAGGAAAGATACAAAATAATCTGTGGTGATAAATGCATGCTTATTTAAGTTGACATGTATACATATCCCTCCTTTCAGCACAAATCCATTGATCTTGATTTCCATTCAAGTAAGCGGGAGTTTTGCCAGCAACATGCCAGCATTTGATATTAAATGCATACCTGAAGATTTAAGATTTATTTATTTTAATGATCATGCTCACTAGGGAATTTAAAAATATTCCTAACTTAATGAAATTAAGACAATTAGGGGAAAAAAAAAAAAGTCAGATGCTATTTCTGCATAACATGTCCCAGGTCTCCTATTTTACCATAGGTGCTTTTAAATGGGGTTAAAGCTCTTTTTTTTTTTTTTTTTTTTTTTCCTTCAGCCTTTCAAGGAAAGTTTAAGCAACATACTTAGGTCAATCCTGGAAAACATCAGCCTGAGATATAAATGCTTCCTAAAGTTATGACTGTGTGAAATGGAATTATAATTGAGACCATTTTGTAAACCTTAAGTGTAGCTGGCTCTGTGGAGGATCTGCCAGATATGCGAGGCTCCGGTTGAATGATGTGCTACTCGAGTTCTAATATTGCAGAGTGATCATGAGTGATCATTCCATGATGGAGGAGAAAATCACATTTTTTAAATAGCTCATAAACAGTGTTGAAACTAGGACCTTAAACTGAAGTGTGCTATTTGTCCCACAAGAGAACACGTAGAACATTAAATCTGGACCACACTTCTTTCAAAGTTAGGAGTATGTTACTCAACTTTATGTAGGTCGCTGAATCTATTGGGATGGAAAGCTATCTTGAATTATGCCTTTGGCTTATTTGTGAGCTGTGCATATAAAACACTGGGCCAAAAAAATAACAGCCTGTAATAGAGGCCAGCTTGAAAGTTATTTTATGGAGGAGATTAAAGGGGAAAGAAAGAAAACCTTTCAAACTGGGTGTTTTTTTCCTAATGGTGTTTACCTTTTCTCAGCTTCAAAACTTCACCATTTTGACCTTCCCCCCAAAAATTACTGACTTGGATAAATCTGCTGCCCCATGGCCCTGCCTCCACCCGTGTCGTACACTCCTCCAAGCCTTACCCTTCGTTTTGGCGGCAGCCAAAATCCTTTCCCTTCTTTTCCCGTTTTGCCCGGTGCTGTGCGGGCAGCGTTAGTGGGCAGCCTCTGGCACTGTTCTGCCTTGGTCGCAACCGTCGTCACCCCAAAACGTTGCGCGCAGGTTTACACTGCTGAGCCTCCCTCCCCGCTGCATCGGCACAAGTGGTGGGCAGAGGAGAAAGCAGAGGGAAGAAGGAGAATTGGGATCGTCTGTGAAGCACAGAGTAGTTTGAAGAAAGCAATACTGGTTGCAGTAGCAAGCAAGATGATATGACTGGCCTTTCAGATGCTCTAGCTGTGCATCCGACAGCGAATATTTACCGTAACGCTCCTTCTTGCACTTCTCTGTTGTGTAATAGCATTTCCAAGTGCTCCGAAACGGCTATGGCATAATGGTTTTTTACTTTTCTCAAAGAAAAAGGGGAAGGAGAGACAACGTGGCAGCAGCAGTGCTGATGCGAGTTTTGTATTAATTCTCTTTTTTCCTCCAGCAGTGCCCTGTTGAATTGTAGGTGGTCTTTGGTCCGTTTCTTCAATCTTTCTACTGATGGTTTCTTTCTGTGCTTTGAGAGTATTTATGATGTTTCTTTTATTGTTCCTCGTCCCTTTGGCTGCTTTTTGTGCTGCAGTTTGTATAATCCTCCATTTTTATTTTTTGACTGGAGTGTGAAATGTGCTAGTCATCTTAAAACATACAAAAACATAAAGGAATATAAAATATGGATGGCTTCAAACTGGAAGAATAATGTGCATGGAACTTTTTTATGCAGTTGCAGGCACCAACCCTAAACAACCTCCTGCCTTCCTTGGTTTTTTTTTAAAGGGTTTTTCTACCTATAGTGAAATTAATGATCTTACCGTCCTCCTTTTATATACTAACTGTATTCAAAGTATTGTGCAAACATTAGGTAATTGATGTTTCACCTCCAGAAAGGATTGCTACTTGTCTTTTTGATTGCCAGTACCCATTTTGACCCTTGTTTTGCTTCTTCCTGGTATAAACCAGATGTGGGGCTGGTGGTGGGCAAGGGGAGGGTGAGAGTTTGCGGGCTTTTAAAGAGCTGGACTGCTCTTGTCTGCCTGACCGCTGGGTACTGACTGGGGGAAAGAGATGTGTCAGGAGATAGCTGGAGGTGCTCTGAGAAGGGAAGGGAATGAAACCCAAGGAGGAGAGCAAATTTAACCATAGGAAAGGCTATTGCAAATAGCAAAATGTGATCTGCTGAATGAATTAAGCTAGGAAAATAGTGGTGCAGGCCTGTGTTTAGCAGGAGGTGTATGAGATAGGGACAGTCCTGCTCCAGTGCCCAGGTGACTGGAGCTGTACGGGTGGCACATCTCGTATGTGCCCAGCCTGGTAGCACTCTTGATGCGAGCTGCCTGCAGCTTTTCTAACCTGCTCCTGTGTTTCCCTTTCCCCTCCTCTGCTGCCTGGCACACGTGGACCCCAGGAGGCTGCGAGCTCGACCTGGCCTGCTTCGTCCAGCTGATCAACGAGATGGGGGGGATGCAGCAAGTGACTGACCTCAAGAAGTGGAACAAGCTGGCAGACATGCTGCGCATCCCCAAAACTGCACAGGACAGGCTGGCCAAGCTGCAAGAAGCCTACTGCCAGTACTTGCTCTCCTATGACTCCCTCTCCCCTGAGGAGCACAAGAAACTGGAGAAGGAGGTCTTGCTGGAAAAGGAAATCTTGGAGAAGAGGAAAGGACCTTTGGAGGGACATTCGGAGAATGCCTACAAGTTCCATTCCTTGCCCCGGTTTGAGCCCAAAAATGGACTCATCAATGGCGTGGTTCACAAAAACGGCTTCCGCAACAAGTTAAAAGAGGTCGACGTCCCACTGAAGACGGGCAGGCGGCGGCTCTTCGCTCAGGAAAAGGAGACCACGAAGGAGGACGAGGAGGAGGAGGAGGGAGTTCTTAGCGACTTACACAAGTGTATATACAAGGTAACGAGGCAAGCTCTGCCAGTTTTGTTTTGCAGGACTGATGATGCTGTCGTCTGGGTGGCATCTGGGTACAAACCCAGCTGGCTGGGGTGTGCCAATGGGCTGCAGTGCCACTCCCGAGGGAGCAGCCCAGCCAGTGGCGATTGCAGCTGGGCAGTCTGGTGGCTTTATCCTGATCTGCCTGGCTCTCATGGGCTGTCTGGAAAAGCTGGAAGTTGTTATTGTCATAACGACGTGCGCTGGGCTCTGCCCCGCTTCGTCTCCTTGTGAGAGGTTCCCTGAATAGCTCTGCCCAATTATCCTTGCAGACACAGTTTTTATTTTCATTTTCTAGT